AAGTAGGTGCTTTAGACCACTGAGCCATCTCTCCAGCCCCATAATAATAAATTTTTATTTCATTTATTTATTTTATTGGCGGAACCGGGGATTGAACTCAGATCCTTGAGTTTGCCAGTCAAGCGCTTATCCTACTGAGCCATCTCCCCGGCCCCTCTATGGAGCTTTGAATTACACATTAGGACTAGGTTAATATGGACTCCTAAGGTCCTGTGATTTCACCTAGAATCAGCTCAGATGATGAACTCTTTTCCAACTCTCACTTTGAACCATTAGCCTCACTGGCCTTAGATTCTTCTCACCTACATAGGCCTCTTGCCTGGAAATCCAACCCTTGTTGGTTGGATCAGTGTTGGTGGGAAGAAGAGATGAACATATAGTTGCAGTGGTTTCCCATCATTTTACATAAATACCAGGGAAAACTGCATGCCTGAGTAAGCAGCAAGAATAAGCCCTGGGCTGGTGGATAAATAGAACTCAATTGTGGAAGAGAGTACTAATGGGGATCAAAAGACTGGGTTGAGTCTTGGCTGGGTGACTATGGACAAGCCACAACCCCCTTTGGGCTTCTCCCATGAATTGGGGTTGTCCCTCCTAACTTTGGGCTGGCCTTCATGTCTTAAGCAGGTGAGGTGTGGGAGGTGCTCCCTGCAGCAGAGGACAGAGGTCTGGGCCTGACTGCCTGTCATCTGACCTGAGGAGGAGCCTTGTGGGAAACAAATGGAAGAGCTAGAAGTAACTAGCATTTTCTAGAGATGCTACCATTGAGAATATGAGAAGTGCCAGAGTGGCACCCCAGGGTGCTGGATCTGAGCTGGGCATCTCAGCAGAGATGGAGGAGTAAGTAGATAGGAGTGAAGTCCTAGGTGGAGTGGGTACTAGACATGCCAGTCTTAGGTTGTTTTTACCCAGGGCAGGTGAGGGTGTCTAGGGAACAAACTGAGTATAGAGAAGCCAGTGTAAAGTCCAGAGCCCTCTGGGGCTGGGGACCAGAGGCACTGGAGGTTCTAGTAGTAGAGGTTAGGGAGGCTGGCTTAGAGATCCACCGTTGTTCTCATGTACATTGTGAGCTGTAGCTGCCTACAAGCTGATTTCCTCTTGCTGGTTGAATATGTTATCTAGGTTTAGGACACAGCGTCTGAGTGGGTCTCACCATCCCATTTCTGTGATTTTGCCTTGCTGTGGTCTTCCTGCAGTCCCCAGGATCTCCTTTCCCACTCAAACCCATCTCTGAGGTTGCACTTCAACAAACCTCCCTGGACTTCCAATTGTGGGTCTCTCTTCTTCAGACTGAGACTATGTCTCCCTTCACTTCTCTGTGCTTATGTGCAGGCCCTGTCTTAATCAGTGCTCGCTCATGTAGGACAAGATTCCAGGTCATTTCTCATTACAAACTTGGTTCCTAGACCAGGGCCTAGTATGTGGTAGATGTGCAGTGATTGTTAATTGAGACCAAGTGAATATATGGAATGGAGGTGCTCCTTGTCCCAGCAGAAGATGAATAAACAGACAGCAGTCACCAGACTGGTTGGTGCTAAGTTCAAAGTAGTAAAGATGATAATGACCTCATCTGTTGAGGGCCAGACACCATCCTAAGACAACTCATTTTTGGAGTAACTATGAGTAACTCCATGTAACAGTGGGAACTATTATGTCGATCATAAATGAGGCTCAGAGAGGGTAAAAGAGTTTTGACTAAGGTCTCAGGACAGAGCAGAGACACACAGAAAACCAGATCAGGGAAGGCTAGATATATTTTTAAATTAGTGTTAGTCCAGTCCAGGAGAGGGAGAAATAGAAACAGGCAGGTAGTTTTGAGCCCCCTAAGGCTTGCCTTGCTCCAACAAGAGTCCACTCAGGTAATAGTCCATTTCTACTTCAGAGGCTAATAGGAATCAGATTGCACAGGGCCCTATGGAACAAGCCAGAATGTTTGAACTTGGTCATGGGGGTAATGAGGAGCCCTTCAAGGATTTTGATAATCACCTTTGCCTTCCAGAAGGAGCCAGTGCTTGCTGGCTGGGTGGGAACCAACCTGGGGACAGTGGGCCCCATGCCTCAAGTGTCTGCGTCCATCTTCATGATCCTTGCCCATCTTCCTGACCTTGGCCTGTCTGTTTCAGAGTGGCCTCTCCTGGCAGTGCAGGCACACTTCATGCCTTGAGCCGCTACAGCCGCTACACGAGCATCTTGGACCTGGACAACAAAACCCTACGCTGTCCCCTGTACAGGGGTACACTGGTGCCCCGCCTGGCAGACCACCGCACTCAGATCAAGCGGGGTGGCACCTATTACCTGCATGTGCAGAGCATGCTCACCCAGCTCTGCTCCAAGGCCTTCCTCTACACTTTCTGCCACCACCTGCACCTGCCAGCCCATGACAGGGAGACAGAGGATGTAGTGGCTAGCCGACAGCTGAGCTTCCTGAAGCTGAACCTGGGTCTAGTGAATGAGGACATCAGGGTGGTCCAGTACCTGGCTGAGCTGCTGAAGCTGCATTATATGCACGAATCTCCTGGGACCAGCAACCCCATGCTCAGGTTTGACTATGTACCCAGCTTTTTGTACAAAATCTGAGGTTGGTCCCAGCCACTGTGTCTAAGACCTGTGACTCAGGGTACAGTGAAGGGAGGGCTTGGCATGATCAAAAGGTCACCTGAGCTGGACTGTTGTGGTTTCTGATCTCATCGGTGGGAAACAGCTGAGAGTCCAGTTTTCTGAAAGTGTCTGGAAGTACAGTAAGTTTCCTTTGGCTTTTTTTGTTAAAGAATGGCCTGAGGACCAGCAGCCCAAGCAGGAAGAAAAAAACCTCAGTCCTTGGGCTGGGAAGAGGTAAGAGGTGGAGCAGCTATAGACAAAGCACACTGGCCACATTCAGCATCACCGGATACTTGAGTGGCAAGAATCACCCAGGGAAGCAGCCTATTAACTGATGATTTGGAAGAAAACAATGGCAAAACATATATTGCCTCATTCAGACCCTCATGTGTCCCTTCATTTGGCCTCTTGAAGCCCATCATCCCAAAGGAGGCTCCTAAATGAGATAGAGGCAGAAGGCTCTGGCCAGCTGGGGAGTGGAAAACATGCTTCTAGGCTCTAGGGCTGCAGAGAACGTGCGCGGCCCTTTCTGTCCGCACCTTCACAGGGAGGGAAGCACCTGGGAGAATACTTGTAGTCATCATAGGCCCAGAGGGGAAATAGGCACAGATGGCCACAGTCAATGTGAGGACTGTCCTGGAAACTGCAGATGAAGCCAAACATGGGGCCAGAAGGCTGTTTCCACTGTGCAGATGACAAGCTGTCAGTTCTGGGACTACCCATGGGCTCTCCCTAGCCATAGTGCATGTGCATTGATTGTCCCCTGAAAAGGTCATATCCTAGGACTTGGCAGAGGTCATAACTCCAGTTGTCACCCACAGCAAACCTTTGCAACCACTTCACTACCTCTCATGGAGTCTTATGGGCTTGGTGGCAGTGGTGTTCTGCTTAGCTGTTTGGCTGGCAGGAACTGAGATGGCAGGAATTTCATCAGATAGCCTCCCATGTGGCTCTGCCTCTTGGAGGCTATGCTTACCTCTTCCCACAGCTCATGACTGTCCCTATACAAGTCCCTTTGCAAAGATGGTATTGTCCTTTGGCATCTCCACCTTTCCCATTGCTGGTGATCAGCATGGCTTCCCTAGGGCTCTCCACCAGCTGTCATTGGTATATAGTAGCCAGGGTTTTTCACAACTTTGAAAAATACCATACTTTTTTTAATGCTATTTTTTCCTCATAAGTAGGGACAACTCTTGGTATTACTCCTTTTTAATTTGTTCCATGAAAACTATGGTAAATGAGACCTAAGTCAGTCCTGTGTGCATCTGTCAGCCTTTGTGTCCTTTGTACTTGGGTCCTGCTGTTGTGGCTTAGTTTTCCTGTCAGCCTGTGCACAGCACTGAGGCCTCCTCACTGATGGAACCAGCTTTGCTTCTGAGACTGCAGAGACTTGGTAGAAACCAGGTGATGAAAGGCAGCTGGCAACACGTTACTCTTTCAGTCACTTTCCTTGCCCAGGTCCTTGGCACAAAGGTATGGCCTATTCATCCATTGGGTTCTGATCAGGGTCCCTCTTTCTGTCAGAGTGTGAGATTTTGATGCTGAGGTTATAACAGAATTGTTTGAGGCATGTTACTGCCTATGTCTTACCAGTTCTATGTCTCTTTGCCCATTACACATGTCCACAGACAGAAGTCAAAGGATACTTCTGATGGGAATATCCACTGTCTTTCTTTATGGGCTCCTTATCTGTTAGCACTTCCCCATATTTTTTTTTTTTTTTTTTTTTTTTTTACCTGGGTTTTAACTCTTATCCTTTTTTTTTCTTGTCAATCCCCTTTTCCCCCTGGGCCCCCCCCCCCCCCCCCCCCCCCCCAGTTTTTTGATGCCATTTTGCTATTTGGGTGACTATCTTCATACCTGCACAGACAGGACCATGCAGTGATCTTGAAGGAAGATCTGTGGAGTCCAAGAGATGGGCTGGAAGCAGTTATTGGCACCACTGCTGTTGCCTTTCTGTGTGTCACATTCATGGAAACTCATTGCTAACACTGCTTACCTGGACACTGACAAAAGTGGGAGATGAGCTTTGAGCAGGTCCTGAGTTGCAGCCATACCTATAGTGTAGCTACAACCATGTGCTGCGATGGTCTTAAGTGGAAGTCCACAGGGGTATGGTGGAGTGGTTATGTTTCTAGTGCTTAGCTCCACGCTGGTTCAGAAATGGATTGGTGGAGAATGAACAGACAGATGGTCACATGGAGTGGTCCCAGAAATGGCAAACAAAAACTTCACCCTCAAATGTGGTTCTCCATTAAGTCATTTTTCCTGACTAGGAGTTGAACTCAAAATTTAGATTTTGGTTATAAAACAAAATTTTCTGTATGATAGTTTGAAAGGATTATTTAACACAAAGCATGCTTGCTTTCTTTTTTCATGCTTTCTTTCAAAAGGGATCTCAGAACAGTGCTGGGACTGAGTCATTACTTGGGCAGAGGTTAATACTGGATGTAGAGACTGGGCATGGTGATGCGCGCCTGTCATCCCAGCTCTTGGGAGGTGTAAACAGGCAGATCACTATGAGTCCAGTACAGTAGAGACCCTGAATGCCCTGCAGACCCTTCCCTAAGATTTAAAAAAAAAAAAAAAAAATACTGGATGCTGTCTTCCTATCCTCTCAATTTTGGAGGACTTGAAGCTTGTAGAAGTCTCACTTGACATGTGGAGACCCGTGCAATTGGACTATACTGTCTTCCCTTATAACAGTTCAGGTGAAGAAGCACTGATTAGGGTGATACTTGCAGAGGCTCCGTTTTAGAGATCAGTTTGTGGCCACCTCTAACATGTAGGGCAAAAGAGATACACTGGTCTGAGGTGCTGCTTTCTATGTAATTGTTGGTAGTGGGATCTTTAGATTTTGGGAATTATGACTCAATTTACAATGGTGAATTGCACATTGCTTCTGGGTTTAGAAATAGATGATGATAGTGAAACTGTCTTTCTTCCTCTTGCTTTTAACCTTTTTGTTTTAGATCACTTGCAGTATTCAATATACAGATTCCAACCCCACACCAATTCAGAAGTCCTGCTTCAAACTCCTAAAGCCTCAAGACTTCACCCCAAGTGACAGAATGGCTGTGGTTATACCACATGGTTTAGAGGCAAAGGGCAGCCTTCCACTCCCTGGCTGTCTTACATACTAAGCACATGTCCCATGCTCAAACCTGAGTGCTATATGCAGGCCAATGTCTTGTCCTATTGTGTTATATCTGTGTCTGCAAGGCCATCAGTACCAACTGAGCTAAAAGGGAGTGTTTGCAGGATTGTAAGGCCTGTCATGGCAGACAAATAGGCCTCCTGTAGCCTCTACCCTCCACCTCTAGAAAGCTGAGGAAATATCTTGGGTTGTGCTTTGAAGCCATCTAGCTTGGTTTTGCCCCAAAACTGTGATCAAAAGCGACAGAACTGGAATTTTTGACAGAATGCAAAAAGGAACAATCTAATTTCTACTAGCTGGAAAGTGAAACCACTTTCAGATGATAAGGATGGGCATAATACATTTCCCCCATCTCCCTCCCTTGAGTCCTTAGACTATTAAGTTTAGTTAAAGCTTTGGGAATGCTGTAGCAGAAGTAGATGGGGGAGCAGAGATGAGGTGAACATGCTCCAGCTTGCTAACCTGCTGGTATGACTCAACTCAGGAGGGTCTGCTCAGCTCCCAATTGGAAATGACACACAGAGTCTTGAGATGACCTGTTATCTTCAGCAGGGCAGGAAACAACCTTCTAAATTTTGAGACTGCTGAGGCACATCAGCTCCCAAATTGGAGGCTGAGATGAGGGAACTTATTATAAGTCACCCACACCCAGTGGGGACTAAAGCAGATACCTCCACACTACCATGATGGAAGTACCTACAGGTTGGATGTTTAGCCCTGGGGTCTGTCACCTATAATGCAGGACCCCAAGGAGCCTCACTCAGCCAGGCTGTCTGACACTGGATAGTTGGAGCCACAGTTTGGATTGTGATAAATGCCACTCAAGAGGTGGTAGTGAGAAAAAGCAGTTTGTGCTGAACTCAGTTATTTTCTAAAAAGCTATTTTATTATTGCATGTCTTGTGTCTGTGAATGTTTGTCCTGAGCCCACAAGCTGAGTTGTCACAGTGGCTAAAGCTATAGTATGACTGATGTATGTGACAATATCTCACAGGTCTGACTGCACAAGTTTAACCAGAGTAAATGCCAAACAGTATGAGGAGTGTACTTTTTAAGAAATTAATTTGAGTTTAGATATTTTTGAAATATAAAAATTGGTTGTATTTTTTAAAGCTATGATTCTTGTAGATGTTGTGGTTAAAAATTTGATTGTGCTTATTAAAAATGGTTGTGTATGGTCTGTATCTCAGCTATGTGAAAAATAAAATTCTCTGGGAAGGTTACATTCGGGTTTCTGACTGCAGGAGGGAGTGGGCTATCTTGAGCAGAACAGAAAACCTGTATTATAGCTGTCACACCAGGAAGGAACTGGGCATTTCCCTGGGTGGAAAAAAATTTTTTTTATTTAAAAATTTTTTTGAGACAGGATTTCACTCTGTGGTCCAGGCTGGCCTTGAGTTCACTATGTAACCCAAGCTGGCCTTCAATTCACAGCAAGCCTCCTGCTTCAGTGTTCTGGGTGCTGGGATTATAGCTATGTGGCATCACACTCAGATTTTGGTGTTGATGATTAAATCCAGGGCCTTGTACGTGCTAAGCAAATGTGCTCCACTTAGGAATGAAACCCTCAGTCCTTCAGTGAACTGTTAGCTGCTGATAGCAGCTGGGTACATCTTTTATACTTTGGTAACTAAAGCACAGGACAGGAGACTTCAAAATTATCTCCTGCAGTTGTAAATAGTTATAATTCATTGTTATTTTGGCACCCTATAGGGCAGTGAAGCAGGAAGAATGGGTAGCACTTACAGCCTATAAACCTGGGTAATTCTTACCTGTCAGTGAATCAGCGAAGCCAAGAGTAAATACACTGGAATCTTTCTAATTGCTTTGTCCTGTACCATCTCATTACCATCTCTTTAATCTCATGATTAAAGCCACTTGGCTACACAGTATTTTATTTTTTAGGAGTAATTACATATATGTTGAGAAAGTTAGATTTGAATTTAAATTCCTTAATGACCTGTCCCAGAATTACTAACAATGGGATTTAAATTTTGATTTATGAAAATAGAATTTAAGCCATCTCCCTCAAAAGGGACAGGGCAGCTTAGTGG